AACACTTCTTACGAAGCAGGAAGAAAGGAGGAGAGTAATGGCGATGAAGCAGAGAAATTCAAATGCGGAGTTTATTTGGTCAGCGCTGTTCCTCCAGCTCCCAATATGCCATGTGAATACACCTCAGCGACTTCCCACAAGGTCGGGGAGGGAGGGCAGGAGGGGAGAGTAGAGTGTGATTCCCAGCACAGCTCTCCCCCAAATCGCCTTCCTTCCGAATCCTCATTCCTGAGCTTCCCATATTCTTGATAGGAGTGAAGGATTTCTAGATTATCTGATCGGTTCCGAGTCAGCCCACTTTAAAACTCCTGGTGTTCTGATTCACAGCTCACATTGGTATCTCCTATCTATCATCTCTCCATGCCTCCACTGAACTTTCCAATTTAATATCCGGTTGCACAACACTAGCTAAGGGATAGAGACAAGTGAAAATACAATTTCGATTTAGTAAAATAGATGTCGTGTGCAGCGTGCGCACATCAGGTTATGGAAACCCTTTGGGTGGGAGGGGACCCTGCATAATCTTCAAGGGCCAGAGTAAAGCTGCCATGCAGAAATGGCCTCATGACCCAAAGGAATACTCCAGGCAACAGAGGTGGGGTACAGAGTGGTAAGAAGAAAGAATGTTTCGTTAGAGGGAGGAGAGGGGGTACAGATCTGGAGGGAGGAGAGGTATTGGAATTGTAGATGGTTCATCGGACTTGCGAGGTGAGACGGCTCATTGGAAGCTACACCGCAGAAATACCTTAAATGCGTTCTGGGGTGTTTGGAATTGATCCTGAGAACAGTAGGGAGTTTCAGAGCAGCTTTGAGTAGAAGAGTGACTGTGGTCAGTTTTGTGTTTCGATGATTCTGATGGCCATCCAGAGGACGCGGGAGGGAGGCAAGACTTGAGTATTCATTGTGAGGAGGGATAGTGTCCTGAGGTAGAGAACAGTGGGAATGGAGAGAAGTGGGTAGATCCTGACGAGATGGTAGAACTGCCAGGCAATGTAACTGCTCAAATAAGTGGCATGAGAGGTGTTCCCAAGGGTGACACCCACGTGTTTGTTTTGGATAACTCATTGATCCTGTTTTCACCGAAACAAGAATTACTGGTTAGATGTCCTAAAACTCCTTGTAAAGTAAAAGAAAACAGAGACGGTTGGAATGGTTTAGATTTGTTTTCATTCATTGGACATATGGTCTGCTTGTGCCGGGCATCAAGATGGGAAAAGTGAGAGGCTCTGAAATAATAGGGGGGAGAAATGGAGGAAGGGGCGGTGGGAGAAAATGACAACGTGGAATCCCAAGGCCTGGTCCAGGTTAGATCATATAAATTAGCAGTGAAAACAAGAGTCATTTTCTTTCAGGGTTTTGTTTTTTATATATATCTTTATAGTAGAAAATATTATAGATAGCCCTCCTTTTTTTTACCCCCAGTGACCTCCTGTCTCCCCCACCCATCCACCTTCACTGCATTGTTGTCTGTGTCCACTGGTTGTGCATAAATGCAAAGAAGTTCTTTCGTTTATCTCTTCCCACCCCCCTTCCCTCTGCGGTTTGTCTTGATTATGACATCCTATTTTTTTTAATCCTCACCTGAGGATATTTTTCTACTTATCTTCAGACAGAGTAGGAGGGGGAGAAAGGGAGCGAGAGAGAGAAACATTGACGTGAGAGGGACACAACGACTGGTTGCCTCCCACATGACCCCGACCGGGGACAAACCGCAACCGAGGTACGTGCCCTTGGCAGGAATCGAATCCGCAGCTCATTGGTTCACAGGCCAAGGCTCTAACCGCTGAGCCAAACCAGCCAGAGCTCAATTATGACATTCTTACAGCAACCCTGGACAATGTGAGAGCAGAATGAAAGAGGACACAGGTAGATGGTGGGCTGAACCCAAGTTGAAGGATATATTCAACAGTGTGGGTAAATCCAGTCAAGTACAAGATGGAAGGCAATTCTTGGACTAATACAAGCATCTCTAAAATGCCTTCCCATGAGCACTGGATGAATAGGGGAGCCAGAAAAGCCAGAATGGGGCCAATGAGAAAATAAGAAAAGACTAAAAGGCTGAAGGCCAATGGACTGAGAATGCAGCAGACTTAGAAGAATAGGATGTAGTCATCAAAGAGAGAGTCAGCATCCAGGGGATGACAGTATTGAAATCCTAGGTAACAGGGTGGATCCAGATGTTGTGAGGCAAGCCTGTTTAAAGAGTCATGAATATGAACGCTGACGTTCCAAACAATGGATCCAAAGGAAGTCTGTGAGCAAGGTAAGAGTCATGCTGAAGGCTGGCGAACCATGGAAACAGGATAAAGAGCAGAAAGGTAAAACTGTTAAGAGTTCATGGTCAATTGAGTGGGGGAAGAGACAGAGTTGGGGAGCAGAGTGGGGATGAGTACTTTTCTTCCTTTGATTCTAGAGGTGTTGCCTTTCTTTCTTTCTTTCTTTTATTGGTATGAGAGAGAGACAGAGAGAAAGAGAGAGAGAGAGAGAGAGAGAGAGAGAGAGAGAGAGATCTGTTGTTCTACTTATTTATGCATTCATTGGTTGATTCTTGTATGTGCCCTGACCGGTGATCGAACCCGAAACTTGAGCATGTCAGGATGGCATTCAAACCAACTGAGCTACCCGACCAGGGCCAGAGGTATTGCCTTTATTAGGATGAAACTGGTTTTATTTAGAGAAAACAGGTTTGGGTAGTGGCCATAAGAGGGAAGCCATTCCAGGAAGGAATTACTTTACAAGACAATCATGTGTTACAACAATGGAAGGGGACTCAGTGACAATTGTTTTCATTCCACTGGTCATTGTGGAAGCGTGCAGGAGGGGAAGAGCAGGGTGGTCAGGGATGGTCAGAGACACATGGTATAGCAAAGAGCATGCTGGAAGGGACACAGTGAAAATGTGTCCCCTTGGCGGCAATTTTTTAAAACATGCACAATTGAGGCTCTTCTGGGTCATTAGCACTTCTAGAAACTCCAAAGTCATTTTCAATTTCTTCATTAAAATTGGCGGGGGAGGTGCATTATAGCTACCGAGCATCTCCACGATAAATTCTTTGTACAACTCTTCCCTTTGGACATTCTTCAGGTGCTTATTGAGAAATGTTAGGCAGAAAAAATAAAAATAAAATAGATAAGAAATTCATTCCCTATCAGTTGGGATCTGAGTACAGAGAGGGTTTACTAATTAAATAAGTCAGTTCAGAAAACTTTACATTTCCTATTAAATAAATACCACACATTCAATATCAGAAAAGGATGACTAAGAGGTGGAGAAGACAGGTGGTGTATCTTCAAAAGGTTTCACCCACACCCTGCCTTGTGGTTTTTACCCTGATGCTGCCACCACACCTATGAGTTTCGCTTATTAAAATAATAAAGAGGTAGAATGACTAAAATCTGCTGAATAGTGCAGAGTGGTAAACACAGTCCCTCAAAGGCTAAACCTGACAGACAGGATCAGTATTCAGTTTGGAGGATATCTGACGATGTTGACTAATATTTTTCTAGCCTTGACTATGTGTGTGTGCTGGTGTGTGTTGAGAATATGAATCTCGTCTCCCTTATTTCACTTACAAAATGTTGACATTAAAACCAAAGATAAAAATAGGGATAAACTGGGAAAGGGAATTCAAAGCACATATTGACTTTAAAAATGTATTTATTTTTAAATTTTTCAATTAGAGTTTACTTCCAGTAGTATCTTATATTGGCTTCAGGAGTGCATCAGAGTGGTTAGACAATCATGTATTTTACAAAGTGTCCCCTGATCTTTCCACTACCCACCTGGCACCATACACAATTATTGCAATACTGTTTACTATATGTACTTTACATCCCTATGACTATTTTGTAACTATCCATGAATCCCTTCACCTTGTCCACCCAGTCCCCCAACCTTCCTCCCCTCTGGCAACCATCAGTTTGGTTGCACACAGACTTTTTCAAACCCCTTTTAAGTGAATTAATGATTAAAGTTTTATATGGAAAATATAACCTCTGCAATATCATGGGTAAACAAGAACATATGTGCATGTGTAAAAATTCAAAAACTAGCAGTCATCATACTAGCTATCATTTAAGAAGTGCTTATAATGTGCCCAGCAGGTGTGGCTCAGAGGTTGAGCTTGGACCCATGTGCCAAGAGGTGGCAGGTTTGATTCCTGGTCAGAATGCATGACCAGTGTGTGTGGGGGGGGGGGCATGCAGGAGGCGGCCAATCAATGTTCCCTCTCATGGATGTTTCTCTCTCTCCCTCTCCCCTCCTCTCTCTCTAAAATCAATAAAGAAATATATTATAATGCGCTAAATTCTTCTCATGTTATGTAATTTGGGCATCCATACCCGGTAAACACTTTCATTCCCATTTCATAGATGAGCACATCTCACCACTGGTGCGCAAAGCAGCAAGGCACCTGCCCAACATCCACTGTCAATAGGAGTTCGAGCTGAGCCATCTGAGTCCAACGCGCGACACTGTCCTCATGATGTTTGAAACTTCCCACCAGAGTCGCACTTAAAGCAGATACACTCCAATTTTTAGGTGTGACCGGTGACCTTCATTTTACCTTCTGAGTCACAGCTCGGAGAGATCAGTTTGCAGTTAAATCTAGGAAAGTGGGGTAGTGGGGCTGTGCGGTTGGGGGAGGACAAGCGGACGAGAATAGGTGGAAACTAGAAAAAGGGGTGGAAGGAACACAGACCGAGCAGGGCGGAGGGGTCGGGCTATGGAAGGATCCGCGAGCGCAGGGCGCTGGTCCGCCCAGGGGCCAAGGAGAGAGGAGCAGATAAGCCCGTGCCAGGTGGCGGCCGCACCTGTGCACTTGACCAGCGCGGGCGCCAGGGCGGTGGCGCGCTCACCTGGACCCACGTGACGGGGCGGGGCCCGGGAGGCCCAGGGAAGTGCGGCCACGCCCCCTCCCGCGCGGCGCGCCGGACCGAGCGGACCGAGCTGCGGCGGCGGCCGCGGGAGCCCGGAGGTGGAGGCGGGCGGAGGGAGGCGGCGGCGCGCGGAGACGCAGCAGCGACAGCGGCAGCATGTCGGTCGGCGGAGCGCCAGTCGTGCCGCCCCCGAACCCCGCTGTGTCCTTCCCGGCGCCTCGGGTCACCCTGCCTGTCGGCCCCGACATCCTGCGGACCTACTCGGGCGCCTTCGTCTGCCTGGAGATTGTAAGCGGGGCGGACTGCGAGGGTGGCACCTGGGCAGCGAGGGCTGGCGGCGGCATCCCTGGCGCGTGCGGTGTCCCCGCGCGCGCCCACTCCCTTCCCGGGGACGCGGCCTTTCCTGCGCGCCTCCCGGGCCCCCTGAAGCCCAGCGCAGCCCGAAGCTGGGCGGCGGCGCTGCGCCCGGGCCCGCTCGCCTGGCACCTGTTAACACTGGCACCTGCGTCTCCGCTGGCGCCAGGAACGGCCCCGAGACAGCGAGCAGGCGACCCGGCGGGACCGGGCCCTGGGGACTTTGCGAGGCAAAGGGCTTGGGTTGGAGGGCGCCGTCAGAGACCCCCGGCGACTTGGCCAGCGGCCGCGCTTGGCTGGAGCCCGAGCAGGCGCGCTCGGCCTGGCCTGTTGCTAACCTGCCATTTTGTCGGGCGGTGCAAAGGTGTAGCCCGTGGCTGGTGACCGGGAGGCGGCCACTCTGTGGAAAGCGGGGCTGGAGGTATCAGGAAGAAGAGGAGGAAGGCTGAAGACCCGGGCATGTCCCCTGCTGGTCATCATGAGTGCCCTTTGCTCTGGGGAGAGGAGCATCGCGCAGGAGGCGGGCGGGGGAAAGTGAAGTATGCACAGTGCCCTGGGCAGTTTCTGATCCAGTGGGTATGAGCATGGTGAGGGAAAGGTACAAACTTAGCTGTCAAGTTCTGCCGCCTTTGCGTCTTCTCTCTCCCTGGTTTACCTGTGCAAATCCAAACCTCCTCCACACACGTTGTTGGGCCTAAATGAAGGGGAGGTCACCAGGCCTGTCCTGCAGACTTCTTGGGCTGGAAACTGGAACCTTTTTAAGGGAGTGTTATGGAGTTGGAACGTTTTGAAGCTTGCTGCGGACCAAGGGGGATTTTGCAAACATTAATTGGGCAACCCAGAGTTGCACCATGCCTGTGAACTACAAATAGAGTGAAATGTCAGCGCCTCTTTTGCCGGCTGGTTTTGTTTGCTCTAGTTTGGGCTTTTCATATCTCTCCCCTCACCCTGTCCTTTGGAGTTTGCATAACCTGGATTTGGGTTGCTTCGGTTTCCCTTTTGTGCTTGTGGGGCTGGAACACCTTGTGAGCATTGGTTTTCTGCCCTGTTATGCTAAAGTGGCTAAGTTTAGCTCAGATTTGAATCTGGAAAAGGAGATAAGTGAGTTGCAGGCTGTGACATCAGTAATCGGATCGTGGGTGCGAGGCTGGTTTGAGTCTGAGCCCAGTTCAGAAGCATCTAAATGCTTCGGATGAGACACAGGCATCCGTGTGAGAAGCGTGGGGAATGCAGGGCTCTGGGCCGCCTGGCGGCTGTGCAGAGGGAGATGGGTGGAGGGGGAGCCAAGATCTGGAGAGAAGGATCGCGTAGGTTCAGGGCTACTGTAAGCCCATGTTCCCCACTCCAGCTGTCTGCCTGCCTCTTGTAGAAGGGTTTGCCCTCTCCGCAGGCTACTTGTAGTAGAATTTACAGAATGTTTGTTTAAACAGACTCACTTTCTGAACTTCAGCGCTACCTTAGCCTCCTCCGAAGCAATAATATATGGGAATTCTCGAATTTGATATGCTGGTTATGTTTTTCTAATATTCAGATGTATACTTATGTATTTACACATGTGTGTATCTATGTAACGATCTATAAAGAAACATTATGCATATATGGAACTATATATGTGTATATATGCAAAGAAGGCTCGTCCATGTGCCATCAAATCAAATCCCAGCTCAAGAATTATTGTGGATGCCTGGCCCGTATGGCTCAATGGTTGAGCATCAACCCATGCAACAAGAGGTCATCTGTTCCATTTCTGGTCAGGGCACATGCCCAAGCTATGGACCCAATCCCCAGTGGGGGCATGCAGGAGGTGGCCAATCCACATTCTCTCTCATCAATGTTTCTCTCTCTCCCTCCCACTCCTTTCCTCTCTCTCTAAAAGCAATAAAGAAAAAGAAAATTTAAAAAAAAGAATCACCGTGGACATGTGACACTTTCAGAAATACTGCCTAATTCTGAGAAAAAAGAGGAAGAGAGGAAAGTGAGTCCCTCTATCTCCTCTCCCCTACCCCCATACCTCTTTATTTATCTAGCCCAGTGGTTAGTTCTCAACTCTTGCTATACTTAATTACTTGGGAAGCTTTTTAAAATACTGTTGCCAGCCCAGACTAATTAAATCAGAATCTCTGGGGGAGCACCCAGAGTCCGCTAGGTTTTTTTAAAAGCTCCTGGAGGTTCTAATGTACAGTCATAGCTTGGAACCACTGAGGGAGGCCTTTATTGGGGTTCTGTGGACAAGACAGCTCTCTCTTGCAGATGTGAGTCCCCACCCCCCACCCCACCCCCGCTAGAATTTCTACCACTCTCCATCCTAGAAGGGGTGGCCCCAGACTCACAGATATACTCAGCTCATTTCTCTTATGTCTACATTTCCTCTGGCTTCTCACCTAGAAACACACCAGGACCCTCATCCAACTAGCACAGAATCTCTTCCACAAGCCTTTTCAGCTGACTTTCACTATGGCCACACATCTTGGTACGTTTAAATCTTAGGGTTCCGTCACCTCCTTTACTTGAATATCAGCCTCTCTCCTCCCCATCCTACGCCCCCAAAAGGAAAAGGACCATAACTGTTCAACGAAACGAGTGACTTTAGAGAAACAAGAGACTACACTGGAGCTGAACCATGGTTCCCTGACACTCATCCTCCCACACCACTTGGAGACACTGGGTTCCTCATTTTCAGGGAGCAGAGGCAGGGCTGCCATGTGAGCCCTCTCTCTAGAATGCCCGCACTGAGCAATGCCAAGAGAGGAGCTAAGTAAACACGTCCGAAGCACCTCTGGTCCCTGCTTTCTTCACGTCCTAGTTTTCTGATTCCCTGAAAGCGTTGTCTCCCACAGCCTCCCCTGAAATGCCTCACAGGAGCAGGCCTGAACTCTAGGTAATCTCCGTCCTGGGGACCAGTTGCTTCAGCCTCTTTTGTTGTTTCTGGATGTCTCCTTGACATCCAGAACTGTGACAGCATCTGACAAGGACAGCCTGGGCTGTCAGTAGTTCACTGAGCTAATGAAACCTTGATCTTGTTCAGTTCCCACACTAATGAGTAACTTTGTTCGAAGAATTCAATCCCAGCATCTCCCTTACTGTACCCCATTCATAATCTCTCCAGTGGAAGCCATTTGTTGGGAGATATTTCAAAAGATACAAATAGTGCCCGCCTGCCCTGGCCGGTGTGGTTCAGTTGGTTGAGTGTCGTCCCATGCATCAGGAGGTCGCAGGTTCTGTTCCCAGTCAGGGCACATGTCTGGGTTGCAGGCTCGATCCCCAGTGGGGGGCATGCTAGAGGCAGCTGCTTAATGTTTTCCTTTCATCAATGTTTCTATCTCTCCTTCTCCCTTCCTCTCTAAAATCTATTTAAAAAAAAAAAAATAATGCCTGCCTAACAGTACCAAATAAAGCAATTATAGTACCAGCTTCACAGGCAGAGACTGTTGCAGCCTCACGTGCATGGGGTGGTCTTCTGAAATAGGTGCGTGTTCCGCACCCAGATACCTAAGTTGTCAGCCCCTCACTTTTGTCCTCAGCTATACTGACCCATGCGTGCTTGCCATAAAGAGCTAGATACTGAGCTGGTTTGCAAAGTGAAGCCTTTTAGTTTAGAATGGAAAACACCGCCTTCAAAAGCGATCACTTTTATATCTCTCTCTGCTTCCCAAATCCATGGTTTCTAAGTCACTCGTCAGGTATTTATTGAATAACTACTGTGTGCAAGGCGCTCTCCCAGGAACACAGGTGTTTAGACTGCCTTCCTCGCCTCGAAGAGCTTAGAACCGGGTAAGAGGATATGTGCAGAGATACATGCCGTCCAGGGAGGAGAGATGTAAGTGTGGAAAGTGAAGTGCACCTGAAGCATTTTCCTGGCAGGTCTCTTTATAAGGAAATGACATTGGAACATCTGTACCATTAGGCTGAATGAGATACTTCAGGTCTCTGTCCTCCAAGAGCTTATCTTGTATAAGGCACAAGAAAGATCCAACATAACAGTATTAAACACGAGAAAGAACAAAGGTCACTATTGAATTCAGAGTGTTTCCCAGTTTCGGTGTTTAGGAAACTGTATACATGTTGAGATATTCATTAACAGTTCTCTTTATGGGAGATATTTTAGGACTCTTATTCACATGCTTCTAACTGTGGAGTTTTGTATGCCACAATAATTTTTATTTATTCAACAAGTAATCAAGAATCTGGTATGCACCGGGCCTTACTTTATGCCCTGGGAATAGGCCAATTAGCATAGCTCCTGTGCATAAAAGAAATTCCTGTACAGTGAAGTATAAAGTCAGGAAAGAATTACAGTGCTGTGTTTGAAGTGGTAGAAGTGGGTTATGAAAAGCACTATTGGAAAACAGGATGGAGTACGTCTGGCCGCTGGAGGGGCCCCAGCACAGGCCGCTTTCCTGGAATGGTGACTTTAACTCTAGCCTTCAAGGAAGTGTAGATGTTCTATAGACAGATAGCGTGGGAAAGGGATTCCAGGGAGGAAGAGAGACATGTTCAAACCCCAGCCGTAAGGAAGGCCACGGCATGAAGGTTCTGGCAGTGATAAGGAATGTTTGTTTGTTTGTTTGTTGTTTGTTTTTACGTGTCTCTTGGGAAGGTGGCAGAGGAAGAGGGGGGAGGAGCAGAGAAGGATTCCATTGCCCATTGGCTGAGAAACCATAGGCCAGGGCACAGAGCGCATTCTGTCTGCAAGGGCGAGCTGCTGAGAGAAGGAGAGACTGATCGAACTTGTGTCTTAGGAACCTGGTAGTGGTGAATTTTGGGTATAAAACAAATCAAAGGCAGCGGGGTCATGGGAGGGGCCTCTTGCAGTGGTTTGGATGAGGGATGGTGAGACCCTGAAGTAGGACAAAGAAAGAAGCAGAAAAGAGGGAGAGGTTTGATGCCTAGGAGGTCTGGCGAGCTTGGGAATGATACCACACCCGGCTGAAATG